CAACCATGAGTTTAACAATGTTGATGAATATGTATGGTGCTCTGTAAGATTGTCTACTACTTCGAAGTGCCTAATCGGGGTCATTAATAGGAAGCCCACTGCTGACATAGAGTATGACAGTCGTATGATGGAAGAACCATCCCTCCCTACGCGTCTTCGATCCACTCATATCCTGATTATAGGGGACTTCAATCTCCCTAGAGTCAATTTCGCGGAACATACGTATATTGGAGGTGAAAACTCAACTGAAGCTTGGTTCTTCAACCTCATTAGGGATCTGGGATTACACGAAAATGTGAAGTCGGCAACTCGTTGGAAAAACAGTCAGACACTATCGCGCTTAGAATTGGTATTTACAAACGAAGAATTTCTAGTTGATAACCTTTCAATCCTGACTTTCCCTGGGCAGAAGCGATCACGCCGTTATAGCTTTCAATTTCGTCAGCAAAACTGAGTTAAGATATCCCACCAACAACTTGCGCTGGAATTTCAAACGGTTGGATGTGTCAGTTCCACAGGACTATCTACAACAGGTGAATGTTCACCCTCAACTTGATGTGGATGCTCATTGAGACTTCCTACTGCACACGCTCTTAAGTGCTACAAATCATTCAGTTCCTCAAACGGTCCCCCACAGCTATCAGCAACCTACATTTATCAGGAACCGCACTCTTCGCCTGCTGAACCGCAAAAGGCACTGTTGGGCAGAGTACAAACGAACTGACAACGAAGGAGCGTACAGGCAATACAAACATATAAGGAACATATGCACGAAGGCTATAAGAGAAGATAGGCTTCAGTACCAGATTAAGCTTATGGATAAATTTGTCTACAATCCGAAAAGCTTATTCCTTTATGTAGCCTCTCTTCGTTAAGCCAAAACTGGAATTTTCCAACTGCTAGGTCTTAACGGCCCGACCAACGACGACGCCGCTAACCTTTTGGCTGAACAATACCCTCGGACATCTCAACCGACCTACGTCAACTATACTGATAACAGCTTCATCTGCAACTGCATTGGACTTTCCGTACTGGCTCACATAGCACCAATTTTCAAAGGAGGTCGACGCAGCAAACCTTCAAGTTACCGACCGGTGGCTCTTGTCTTAATACCTTCAAAAATTATGGAGTCCCTGATATGTGATGGTATAGATGATTATTTACTATCCTCAAACTTCTCTTCACCCCAACAGCATGCTTTCAGGAAGGGTTACTCTTGTATAACCAACCTTCTAACTGCGGTGGACAGATGGACAAGCATCCTCAATCACAAGGGGAAGGTTGACATCATTAACCTTGAGTTCTCAAAAGCTTTTGATAAGGTTAACCATATATGTCTTATCAATAAGCTCAAACGATTGGGTATCAGACCATCTCTAATTGATTGGCTCATTTCATATCTGAAAACTCGACATTTTAGGGTCAGGGTTAACTTTAATTTATCTCAGGCTATGGAATGTCCTAGTGGGGTCTCCCAGGGCTTAGTACTAGGACCTCTTCTCTTCTTGATATATATAAATGATCTTTCACAACAGGTGTCGTCAAACGTATTACTTTTGCTGATGACGTGAAACTTTGGGAAGCGGTACGCAACCAAGAGGATATACAGGCACTTAAGGAGGATCCGACTCGAATTCAAAGTTGGGCAGACGATGACGGACTTACCTTTAACACTTCAAAGTGTAAAGTAGTCCATCTGCGACATGTAGCAGACTACAGTTATGACTTAGGAAACTCCTCTCTCGTAGTATCCCAAGTCGAAAAGGATTTCGGAGTCCTGGTGCCCTACGATTTAAAGTCTTATGCTGATTGTGACAAAAATGCCTTCCGAGCAAACCTTGCACTGGTAACATTGAAGCTCACTTTGGGTCATTTTGACGGAAGAACTTTCCACATAATCTTCAACAGTTTTATTCGTCTCCATTTAGCGTATGGAAACAGTATTTTCTCCCTCACTCCAAAAGTATAAAGACACTCTGTAGCGTATCCAACGGCGGGCCACGTAATCATTTCGGGGACTCAAATTTAAACCTTATGAAGAAAGCCTCCAATCACTTAGCCTTTACTCATTAGAGTATAGACGTCTTAGAGGTGACCTTTTAATGGCTTACTGTATCCTTAACACTTCTGGACATCCCCTTAAACACCTACTTAAGCTTAGTCCCAATACAAAACTAAGGAGTAACACCCAGAAATCGGAGATACAACATAGCAGAATGGACTGTAGACAAAACTTCTACTCCTTAAGAGTTGTCAAATGCTGGAATTCGCTGCTGACTGAACTAATCCAAGAGACTTCCCAGGAGTCCTTGGAGAGGAAACTTGACCTATCCTTAAGGACCAAGGATAACATCTTATTATGAGTTACCAATTCACTTTTTTAAAATCTATTATAGTTAATATACCTAGGTTTTTGTCTGGAGGTATTGGTGATCCCCTGCTACTAAACACGGGAGCCTATTAAGCAGAAGCTCCTTCTACTCTGTCCACAACCATTTGAACCATTTGGGTGCGCACCTAAGCGTCTAGAGGGGATGCGAGGCTTGGCCAGGGAAAGCTACGACCTTGTCCACGGCCCCGAAAAACCAGTTGTTATATTATGCCGGGCCATAAGTCTTTCTACATTACAGAGATTTCTGAAGTTTTTGAGCAAAATTGATGACTTTCCGGGCGAATGAGTGTCTTGATAAAAATATCCTGAGTAAATATGAAAAATCAAATCCAAACGACCTACCAATGTCATTACTGTGTTGATTCATGTTCTAAAGAATAGCATGATTCTGGGTTTTCTTTGCCACTGAAACTCAAGGCAAAACTCCCACAAACCTCTAAACTGTAGAAGCCTCCAGTGCACTGTCTGACGGGTGACTAAACAAGACCCTGATCCAGTGAATTCAAACCGATATAATGCTCGTATTTCTCCTTTACACTAATGTGACTCTAAATTGCTTCAGACGAACAATGAATGATCTGTTTGAGTATGCAATTCACTCGTCCTACGATAGACAGTCATCCAGCACTATTCTAACTTGCTTCAGCACAATTTAAGGACATGTGATTTGCCCGAAAAGGGAGTGTATTAGTCAGCAACCAGCACAATCTGGACCTCCAGCAACGACAGTAGTGAGGGAAAATACATGAGTAACACCAGAGCTGATATAAAGAAATTCATTGAAACCTATATTCAGCGAACGACCTATTTCAGCACTTCATATAATTTAAGTCTCTACTAATAGAATGAAGGAAGTCCGCTTCATGATCCTCAAGAAAGAATACAAGGGACTTGAGCTGCTACAGACCCGTAGAACTGCTTTTAATATTCTCAAAGGTATTATAAAGTTCGATTGACGACCGAATGAGGGAGACTATTGGCGTCTAAAAACTCCTCGGTAAAGATCACTGTGGCGTCGAAGAAGAATGGTCCGGAACAATAAATGCTATATCAGTGTAGAAAAACTGGAAAAGATGCTGAGATCAGAAAGAGCCGTCGCATTCACTATTTCCAGACTGTTCCAAGGCACTTGATAATGCTGTACTCGGTCTTATTGGGTGACATTGAGTCGACAGGATTCACAGACCCAGTCCTTTTTTGGTCAAAGAACTTCCCTCATAACCGAGCGTTCCTCACTAAAGTCAACTAAATGCGACGGCGCTAGAGAGGGTCATTATCCTGGATTTAAAAAAGGGTCATACAGAGACCTCAGTTGTTCCTCATATTAATTAGCAACTTTCACGGGAAGCTAAATCAAAATATCCTATCTGAACCTTAACATTGCTGTGTACAAGGTGACGAACTACAGATTGAACATCGAGGACTCAAACCCACATGATCCAACATCTTTTATCATCAGGACTCTACCTTATGGGAAACCATCTTCCATCGAACGTCACAAAACCTCTTTGGTGGTCGACCTCATGAGTAGGCTTGCCAGACAAGCATTCGTCTACGGTTTGCCATCTTTCACGTGGAACGGTTGTGCTTGATTCATACCCCCTAACTTATTATTTTTCCTACTACTATTATTATTATCATTAATATCACTGGCCCATGTTTGTCCAGTTTACTATGTATCGTCTTTATCTTACTGTTAATATTATACTTTATAGCAGCTCACACGAACTTGAGTTTGTTCACTTTTAATTTGGTTAAGCCCTTTTGTTCACATATTTAACGGATAGAGTCACTCAAGAAATAACAGCTTACCTATATCATTGTACCTTTATCATTGTTACAGTTGTATGAATATATGTATACCTGAGCATGGCATACTGCCTACGTAAATATTCGCTCTGCTAGCTTTACTGTAAACCGCTTAATTGATTCGATGATTCATTCATTTCACTATGTATATATATGTGCATTCTATTCATGTCCATTGCACTCGCTCATTTGTACTCGCTTACTCTTACTTGTGTTCGCTGAGTCGCTCGCTTGCCTGCTGATAGCTTTTCGGTATTACTCTTTCACACTTAATGTATCTGTAAATTGGGTATCTATGTGTGGTCTCATAATAAACGTAATCAACACTTCGTATTCGCCTTCTGAATAATACACCGTTGGGGCGTTATCTAGTGACATTTATCAAGAGGAAACATATACGAGGATTAAGGATTATACAGAATACCGACCACCACAACTTTGTTCATGCTATCTGAGAAACCAAGTTATTTTCTAATTCTGGATGTCATCGCTTTGGATGCATGCATCTTAAGTTTGTGGTTTTCTAAGTTGTGGTAAGCCAGATTCCTATCTAGCTATGGGATATATCTTGGTTCTGGCAACCCAACTGCCTCAAAATGATGGTACTAAGTTATACTCTATAAATATTGACCTTCAATTAATTGTCAAAGCCACCAGAGCTCGTGTATAGATCAGACATACTGTGAGTTATCTGCGATATGAAACCGCAACTTAACATTAGGATGCAAGTGCAAAGAAATCAGACAGTTTTCACAAGCTTACCAAGAAGATATTGGACAAGACAGAAAACCCGCCGTTATTTCAGTCCCTTAAGGTCGTTGTATAGAAAAGAGCGGCTAATTTGGCTCAGTCTAAACTGCCTGATATGTCCATCGATCCTCAGGGCAATGAAGTTGGGTAATCTTAATAATTGTTGTTTTATTTTCAAATCACCAGAAAGCTATTTGTGGGAGGGCTGCATCAGTCTACAACTAATGGTATTTCATGTGGTACTCTAATGTATCCGTATAGACTCCCTTAAACTATACTTTTCGAAATTCGGAGATATTGAAGAGTCGACAGTTATGATGGACAACAGAACCGGTCGATCAAGAGGCTTCGGTTATGTCAAGTTTAAAAACGATGAATCTGTCGATTGGGTTCTGAGACAAAAAACTCACCTTATTGACCTTAAAGAAGTCGATCCTAAACGGTGCAATGTTAACATGAAAGGAAAGGTAGTCCAAAGTCTCAAATTTTACTCAGTACTTAGAATCGTCGTAGCCTCAAGGTGTTTGTTGGGGGAATCGCCTTTGATCATGATGAAAATATAATTAGGAATTTCTTTTCTAGCTATGGAAGGGTTTGTCTTTCCATTACCAGTCTACTTCTTGTAGGTTACCGACGTTAACTTACTAGCAGGCCAAACCAAACCACGCCATAGAGGTATTCTGCTCAAACTACTAATGATTGACTTGTAGGCTTTGCATTTGTTGGGTTTGACGATGAAGAGGTGGTTAGGAATCTCATCAAACTGCACTACTTAAACCTGAATGGGAAACAGGTTAGTTATTGAATTTTAACCTATTAGTATGCCAGGTTGAAATAAAAGCAATGAAACCACCTAATACTCAGAAGTCTGACTACCAGGTCTCTTCTAACTCAGTACCATCTGCTCAAGGAAACGGACGTCCTGTTCGTAGTGTTCAAAAGAAACAATATGTTACATCTCAATCCAATGGTTCCTGTAAGTCCTTATCCAGCTATCACACTTTCTCTTTTACGTAAATTTTGGTTTTCAAATACTCAATTTATACTTCCCAGCTATAGAACACAGTGGTTTTCTATTCCAGTTTTGAAAGTGCTACTGGTGTAGTTGACCTTTCATGTACCTCGTTTACAGATTATTTGTTGTTGAGTCATTCTTTGTGAGTAAAAGCAGAAAAAGTGTGGACTTTTACTCATCATTGGTGTTTGTCATATGCTCGGTTGAACTCTACAATTTCGTATTCACACACGAAAAATGAACATGCGATCGCTTTATAATTAATTAAGAAAGAAAGATTAGTTCAGCGAAGAGTTCTCTTTTCGGCGAATTCATTCTCGAAGCTGTACAGTCGCACATATATACTTATTTTTACAGGGTGATAATAAACTTCTGTTATACATGGTGAGAGTGAGGTTAAATAAAGGTATTAGAATAATTTTTTAACTTGGAAAGTTTAATAATCGTTTGATAGTTAATGGCTTAAGTATTCATCAGGTAAGGATGGCTCAGCATGATAAAATAAAATGTTAAAACAGCGATGAAATGTAATCGAAATGATCGTGGAAATAAAAACAAACCGGTCGGGGGTAGAAGATTTGAAGGGAAGATGGAAGGTGAAGCAGGTGGCTGTAAGGGAACAAGAGTATGAAGAAAGAGAAAAAAATCAATACATTAAGACCATGGTAGAAGAAGGGGTTGTACCAGTCTCTTTTGTACACATAATTCTGGTTTTTCAAAATGTATGGCTATTGCCTCGGCAATGCAAAGAAGATGCAGTCTAATTGTCTTAGGAAGGCTTCTACTTACCTTGTAGATCGCTTTGAACGCGGAGTCTGTCTTGATTGAGTGACCTGTGTTCACAAGGTGTTCGATTATAGGACTTCTTATTGAGCCATTGCCTCCTCTTTTTAGCCACACCGGACAATGTTCTTGAATTCTTTTTGATAAAGTACGCATCGAACGAACTATATACCTAGCTCCACAAGAGCAGGTAAATTGGTAAATGCACATTGAGTTGGTCAGATGCGATAATTTATCTTTCAGATTATTGGTGAACAGCGATCGGCTGGAGAATAATATTCGCAATGTTGCTGCGAAGAATGTTCTTTTTAAAGAATCTAAAATTCTCCTCTTTAAGATATATGCGGCTCTGTCACCTTTGAAGTCGATGTTCATGTATACAATTTTCTTTTCCATTGTAATTGTTTGTGGTTTTGGCATTTTCGGCTTCATGCTCTTACCAATGAATGTAGGACGATATCCGTTTTTGATAAGAACCTCTTTTAAAAGGCTCAATTCTTCCTCTACGACTTCGGGGCTACAGATTCTTCGTATTCTTATGGCGAGAGTTATTATTAAGTTTATTTTTCGGCTGATGGGAACCCAACTGTGGAAATTTGATAATTGGCCATTCCACATGGGTTTCCTGTAGATAGCTCTTTTTAAAGTACCATCTTGTTTTCTTGTCATATCTACATCAAGGAAGTGAATATTTTGTTTGCTTTCAACTTCAAGTGTGAATTTTATTGATGGGTGACAATTATTAAAAGTCTCTAGGAGATCACTTAAGTTACATTTGTTGTCACAAATGATCAAGATATCATCCACATACCTTTTATACAAGTGGAGGTTTTCTATAATTCTTTTGAGTTGGTTGTTTTCTAAACTGGCCATGAAGCAATCTGCCGGTAATGGACCAAGTAGGGATCCCATTGCTATACCATCCTTCTGTCTATGAATTACATCGTTGAATGTCTTCAGTCTTCAGTAATAAGGATAGTAGGTTGATGAACCTGTGTTAATCCTGACACATTGCTTTCCAGTGAAGGTCCAGCTTTTCCTTGAAAGTATTCACTGATGGGGCTGATACCACTTGTTCGGGTAAGGCGTTCCAATGATTGACTACTCGATGAGAAAAACGGGATCCCACTTTAAGTTTATTAGATCGTGGTTTATGAACCTTCTTGCTATGACCTCGGAGATTATTAGTGCTGGAGGGAGCAAAAAGATAAGACATATTAACACCCAAATCATAATTAAAGATACGAAATGCCAGTATAAGGTCACCTCGTGTCCTACGATACGACAAGGGGAAAAGATTTAGGCGTTTTAAGCGCTCATCGTAAGGGAGTCTAGAAAGACCCTTCACTAATTTCGTTCCCACACGCTGGACACGCTCAAGGGAGTTAGTATCCTTTACTAGACACGGGCTAGCTGCTTGGATACAGTACTCTAAATGTGGTCTAACATATATGGGATATAAAATTCGAAACGTTTCCTCGTCAAAAGATTTGAACGCTCGGCGAAGTGACCATAACGCACGAAAACCTTTGACAGCGGCTGCTTTGCAATGCGCAGTTGTTTTTAAGTCATGACTTAATATTACTCCTAAGTCCTTATGCTCTTGAACGCATGGAAGAGGTTTACCCTCAATAGTGTAACGGTAACTATTACCGTGACCGATGTGCATTAGTACACTCTTCCTAGCATTGATTTCTAAGCCCCACTCTCGAGCCCATCTAACTAAATCGTCTAAATCAGCTTGAAGATCCACATGATCAGCCGCACTTTTTATTGTTCTCCAGATTTTTACATCATCCGCAAACAATAATGTCGACGACCTAAGTAACAGCGGTAACTCATTAACGTAGAGAAGGAAGAGCAGAGGGCCTAAGATGGTGCCTTGGGGTACACCACTTTTGACCGGCTTCCAATCGGATAGCGTTCCATTGACCCTAACTCTCTGTCTGCGGTCACATAAGAAATTTCCTATCCACTCATGTACAGTACCTATTATTCCGAAGCTCGTGAGCTTCTGCATAAGACCTACGTGTGAAACCTTGTCAAACGCTTTGCTAAAATCTATGAATATCACGTCGACAGACAGACCGTGATCTAGGGCTGCTGTCCAATCCTCCCTCGCAATAAGCAAGTTAGTCAAGCATGAACGCTTGTTACGAAATCCGTGTTGCTCAGGAGCTAACAGATTGTGTAAATCTATGTGGCTTAGCAACCTAACCCGAATTATCTTTTCGAGTAACTTAACGACTATGCTAGTTAGACTGACAGGCCGGTAGTTAGATACTATCTGTCGCTGACCGTCCTTAAATATAGGACTAACTATAGCGTCCTTCCAATCTCTAGGGAGTTGGGCGAGTGAGAGGGACATGTTGAAGAGTGTCGCAAGCGGTTTTGAAATAATGTCCGCAAGAGATGACAGCAACCGTGGATGTAACCCGTCAGGGCCCGGTATCTTACCAGGTTTGAGGTTAGTTATCAACGGAAGGACAGTTTCCTCAGTCACCTGTACAGATTCAATGGTTGGTATCTCGGTGTGAGTGGGACAAGTATTTGTTACAATAAACGTAGAGAAGACTTCGCTAAAATAATCTGAAAAAGTCTCAGCTTTTGCTCGATCTGATTCAGCTAGTAATTCTGAATTTTCGTGTAACAGCAACGGGGGAATACCATCACTACGTTTCATTTGCCGTTTAACATACGAAAACAATCGTTTCGGACAAGTACGGCTATCATATACTAACTGTCGTTCGTAAGTGGTACGGGATTTCGCTATGGTTTTCTTACAGATATTACGGTATTTTTGATACTCACGCTTAAATGGTGCATGACCTGTCAACAAGAATAAGTCCCAGAAATGTTTCCTACGCTTTAACAGCTTCCGGGTTTCCTTATTAATCCATGGAGGGCAATGTGATAGCTTACGTGCTGACCATGGGATAAACGGCGACGTTACGGACTCGAATGTAGCCTTAAACTTATTCCATTCATCTTCGATCAATCCATCCGCGTCGACCGACCAATCAGTCGAGATAGCACGGTTTCTGATTTCCGGAATATTAGCTCGCCAGATATTGGGACGGGGTGGAGCAGATACGAATTGTATACCATGTGTCCTAAACTTAAAGTGAATTACAACGTGATCACTGTTCACTAGTGGAGGAAGGTGCTGGATATCAAAGACATCCTCAGAGTGGTGGGTGAGGGCGAGGTCCAGCAGTGACGGAACATGATGCAAATCAATATGTGTCGGTTTTGTGATACATTGTACAAGTGCACACTGAATAACGGTAGATAAAAGGTCGCTATCGAAACCACTACCTGGAGCTGTAAGCTCTATCCAGTTGATATGCGGTGCGTTGAAGTCCCCAATGATGAGACAACATTCTGCCATACTCCAAGAACAGATGTGTCTTAGGATAAAGTCGTCAGCCAGACAAGACGGACTACGGTATATTCCCCCTATAGTCACTAACCCATTTCTAGATTTAATCTTACAACATGCAACCTCACATGTGCCACTGATATGAGCCTCCGATATGGTTGATTGTATACGAAAGTGATCCCTAACGTATAATATTATACCTCCCCCTTGCGACTTGAAACTCTATCACTTCTGATACAGATATAACCAGCAATGAAAGGAGAACAGTCTATATCAACGGTGAACCAAGTTTCTGTAACAACGATTATATCGGGACATAATTCTTGCACCATCAGACTTAGCTCGGACGTTTTATTTCTAAGACTACGAGCGTTCGTGTAGCACACACTTAAGGTGTTTTGGAAATCAATCGTTCTACCCATACAGGCCTCGGAAGCATTGGCTTCCAAGACCTGACTACCCGAAAACCCTTAATGGTAAGGTTATTTTCGCCATTTAATTTGCGAGTCCTCAACTCCGTAAGAGCATTCTTCCACTTGATTCGATCCTCAAGCGGCCAATCTGGTCGAATACGGATATTTGAGGCACGAGTTTTTAGTGCGCTTTTCAATAATATGTCTCTTTCTTCAAAACTCCCGAGAACCAGCTTCAGGATCCTTCTTGGTTGGGTCTCGCCTCCAACCCATTTACCAAGTCGTATTACTTTTGTAATATGTACCCCTGAAACCTCTTCAGGTAGTACATTCCTTACCACAGACTCCACTAACTGTAGGTCATGTGCGTGTCTTTTAGCAGG